TCTATTTTTTTCATCCAGATAACATGTTCCTCTCTCTCTCTCTCTCTCTCTCTCTCTCTCTCTCTATTTGTATATATTTTTATGTTTTTTTGTCTGTACACACCACAGTTTGGATTTCTCCCCCATCTCTCTAAAGTCTCAGTAGAAATAAAAAAGGTAATGGAATTGAACACTTTTATCACTTGTAGTTAAGAGGGGTTTGTTATCATCTTGCTGTTATTTTTCTTGAAGTATAGGTGTTCATTGATATATTCTTTATGTGCATCAACATTTAGTCTATCATTAACGGTATATAAGTTTTTGCATCAAATCATCTATTTTTCTTGGATTTTCTTTGACTGTAATAGAAGGCATTTTACAAAATATGTATAGATTTACTCTCCGTGTAATGAATCTTCCCTCTCATTCCCTTCACCTGATGACAAAAACTCATATTCTTTGTTTAATAAGCATATACAATCTGTGTTTTTTATCATAACGAACATGTATTTGCATGAAATTAGAGTATCTTGTCAAATCCGATAGTTTTCTAAAGGTGTAAGTTTACCAATTTCATTTTATGCTTGGATATTCTTGCATTTTACAATTTGAATAAATGTCTTATTTGAAAACCAAATTCCATAAAAAAACATGGAAATTTATTTAAAGCTTAAATGACCTTACCCCAAATTTTATTTATGGATGTATTTCCTGTCAGAAGTTCATGATGCCACCACAGCCTTTGAAGCAAGAAATGGGATAACATTGGAGAAAATGGCCAGATTCTTATGATTAGCACTCTTTAATCCGGGGCTCTGCATATGTTTCTTCTCAAAAATGTGAATTTTCATTTAATTTATCAAAAAAATCTACTTTACTCTGTGATATGTCGTTTGGGATTTTTGTAAGAAAATAAGTAATCTATTTAGTATGCCATAACTCTATTGTCTTTCCTTGCTTCTTTTACAATCTATTGTCTCTGTGTATGTATGTATTTACCTGTCTATGTAAATCTAATTGTAGCATTAATGTCTTTGTAACAATGTACAATGTGACTTTGTAAGACCATCTAATCTAATTGTAGATTTATCAATATATCCCTTTTTTGTAAGATTCTAAAATTTTCTAGATTTACATAATCTGTTAGTTGTATGCCAAGGTTCATCTAAACCAGGATTGAGAGAGTGAATATAACTTAATAAAATTTTTAATCATAAATATTGTTATATCGTGTATATTAAATTTGTTGTATTTAATTAATTTAAGAAGTTATTGGTGTCTAAGCGAAACTTATGTATATTTACATTAATCAATTAAAATAAGATGCATGAGGAAATATAGTACATGGATAAATAGGTGATGCCTTCAAATCAGCTCAAAAAATATCATTAGCTGTCAGCCACTCTCTTTTGCATAAAATAATTCTTAATTGTTTGTTCTAAAAGAAGGTTATTGCAATGAAGTTGTATTATGACTAAACAACTCGGTATTATTATTATACAAAGATTTTTCAAGCATGTAATATTATACATTAAGCAATGAAGTAGCAAAATCGAACTATTTTGAAATAATTTAATTAATTAATTAGAAGCAAAAAACAAATAGATTATTTTTACGTTTAAACTTAAATCATTTAATTTAATTATTCTTTTTATTTTGTTTTGAAACACATTAAATATCAATGACAGATTCATTAGCTATATATTTTTTATTTTTTTTATATGAAATTCTATTGTTAAAGATTCTATAACATAAGATAAAAAGTCATTTTGCATAAAAAAGGATTTATCTTTTTGTTTTGTCTTTAAATGAAGATTTTAAGATTTTAAAATAACACATGGAACGTTTACTAGTATCCGCTTCATGCCGAAAGAAAACTAATTTCGCATTAGAAACTATTTCCCGAAACAACTTTTGTAAAATTGGATGGTTTTAGAACCAAAGAGATACAATTTGACGAAAAGGAAACTATACACCGAAAGCCAAAACGAAATTAATTTTTAGCCCGATACTAATCGTCAGAATGAAACAAATCGCCACACCGCATCGCGCGGATACCCTACTAGTATATATATATATATATATATATATATTATATATATATATATATATATATATATATATATATATATATATATATATATATATATATATATATATATCTGGCCTCTGGCAAGGCCTTATGGACAGTAACAATTCTAAATTTGACATTTTTGGCATAATGTTTGTGAAGGTTGCAGTTTTGCTCCAGATTTTCTATAATTTCACAAATGTGGTCCCTTTTTTGTTTTGGTTGCCGTTTTAACACCACCGAAAGATATGTGTCTTCTTTTGTTTTGCACTCCAGGATACGTGTCATATGCTTCCTCTACCCCACTGACTCAAATCGATTGGAATTCTTCTTCTCTACGCATTTTCTTTTCTATTGTTAAGAAGTCGTCAATGGAAAATAATCGGCTCTCTCTGTGTGACTAGGTTTGAATCGGCTTCCTTTAAATCCCCACATCAGCCACCACTTTCCCCACTTAAGCTCTCTGTTACCACCCATTGATGCTTCCTTCTCCAATGCTTTCTCCCAATCGAATCATTGTCGTGACTGGATTTTCAGGCTTCCAGTGAAGTAGGTTTCACCATGACTGTCGTCTGCTCATCTGTTTCACTCATTATCTTATACTACTTCACTTGAAATCAGATGTGGATTTGCATCAGAGAGGTTGATGTTGCTTCCCCTATGAAACGTGTTTGCTCCAATTGAAGGGTTTTGGTGGAGCTTCAGTTCCATTGGTTGTCATTATCTTCCGATCATAGATTGCAACCGATGTACCCTCTCTTTCTCTATATCTCTAATTATTATTCTTATTCTCCTCTGGTACATGTTTTCCACGTTTCAGGTTAGTGTACATCCTTATCTTCTGTCTCTTTCATCAATTGCCATTTGCTTGAAATTTGGTAACTTTCTAAAGACTCATCATAGCCTCTTTGTTGTATATATTTAGTTAGAGTCGTCCTTTCTTGCATGTGTTTTCCTCAATAATTAAAGACGATGCTTAATTAGTTGTTTGCGCAGTGAATTGATTATTTGAGATGTAAGTGAAAACATTCATTACAAAACCAAAAAAATTAAATAATTGTAATAAACTCATGCATACAAAAAGAACAAATTAGGAAGCTGAAAAGGGAGATGGAAGGTGAAATCCTTAATTAAAAAACCAATAAAATTCAATATTCAATAATTGTGATAAACTCAATCGTTAAGTGTTATTTTTTTAAAAACTCTACGTTATCACGTATTTGTCAGCTGAAGGTTGAATTCAGGAACATACCTTCAAACTGAAAATGCTTGGATAAATAAATATGGATTTTAATTAAGGCCAGTAGAATGGCGTCGAAGGATTGAAAACAAAAATATTTTCAATAGGTTTGTTTTATTTGATTTTAATGAAAGGGAGCTTGCGTTGGTTGTGTTTAATTCCACCATTATTGCCCATGGCATGGGGAAGAGAAACACTCATTGCACATCCATAATCACTTCGAACTGAAATGAAAAACGTTGGTTCATATAAACACACACCAACAAATGTAATAATTAAGTCTTAACTTTTAGTTAATAAAATGTTTTGGATGATGGGTATTGATAAAAACGTTTGATAAAGGTTTATCTATCCAACGTTTGAAAACTAAGTTCTAAAATCATAGTTTTTCTATCCAATTTAACGCCTTCTCTCCAACATCCTAAATTACTCTTCCATAACTAAACACTTGCAAACGTGAAATCCTAAAGATGAGAACTTAGTTGTCCAATTTGCTTTAGGAATCACTATCTAATTTAACTAGTAATCTAAGATGAGAATGCTGTAATTTTATGGTATTGGTAGCTAAAGCTTTTCCAAATGAAAAGTTATCGACATGGGGATTACAATGTTCATATATTTTAGTTTTAAGAAAGCATAAAGTTTGTTCTTTCTGATGTAATGTTATTGGATTAAAGTCTAACAAAAGTTTGCATCTAATTCTAAAGATTTGTTGCTGATATTTTCCATGAGTTGTATGAAGAAGTGACAACAACTTCTGTAAGGGGCTCAGCAGGTTCGGTTGGAAATCCCATCAATTCAAATATCATAGGATGATATGAAACCGATATCATGGTTGTTGAAAGACTAGCTAAAAGCCTAAAACACTCAATATGTTTTTTGTTTTTTTGTATTTTCTTTCATGTCAAAACTCAAAAGTAGATAATCTACTTAAAGTGTATGCACTTCTTACATTATTATTTATAATTCTATAATCTAAATCATATAAGTGTAAAAAACCCCACTCCGGGAGAAGCATGACTTTTTTTTACTAGTTATCATAAAAAGTTAAAGAAAATAAATATAAAGATAAAATATATAAAATATCATTTATTTTTTGCAAAGGCTGATTCTATAGTTATCATTAAAAAGGTTTTTCTGTAATCAAACCTCATGTCCTTGTAAAGAGAAAAAACGCATTTAAATCTAATATTGTATTATTTTCACAACGATCGTCTCCACATTTTGGAGTGAAAACCGTCACGTATGTCCTAAATATGTCAAAAATCACCATATTTTTTTCCTTCAGTTTCTTTGTGATTGAAGCGGCTCCTACTGCATTTCTAAGTGTTGTTTCTGATACCTTAATACAATAAAGGTATATCACACGATTACTACAACATCCTCACTTTTGTGACTTTTATATCCCGCTTGTGCTCATCCTTAATAACATTTAGAACCATTTATGGAATAATGACTTGAAAGGGTAACAAACTTTTAATTTTGTTCACATTTGGTTATTCAACTTTTTTCGTGTTTAATTTGCCCTTGAATTATTTGAAATTGTTCATATTTTACCCTTATGACCGGCTAAAAACGGTCATAAACATAATATACATTTCAACAAGTTCAAATGTTTATTCATCACAAAAAAAAAATAATAATAAATAAATAAATAAATAAAATAATGACCAAATAACATCAAAAGTTATTATCCCTGAAAGTTTAAACCCTTTGAACCGAACCTAGATCTACCCAATAACGCCTTTTCAGGGATCCAGATGCCAAAATAAGTACACTTCCAGCGGAGTTGATCGATTTGGAGAGAGAGAGAGATGTTAAACGCTCTTTCTATGCGAAGGACTGCTCAATTCGGTGACGAAGGAGACGAACACCAAGAAGATGGATCCAAGACCAGAAAGCAGCTTTCAATCGCTACGCGGGTCACCAACTATTTGACCCGAACCGGTTATCTCTGGCCGATACTCTTTCTTGCCATTGTCATCTTCGTAATCTACTCTCTCTTCATTCGTTCCCGCAATTTGGTTTGCGTTTCTTCCATTTCTTCCTTTGATCGACTCTCTCGTACCCGATTCTTCGGATTGGATGGACTCGAATCAGACTTTGGATCCCTAGGCGTCCCATGGTGTAAGCTCTCATCACTCATTCACTACATGTGTGTGATTTGTTAATGTTAGGGGTTTTTCGATTTGATTTCACCAGATCTGCATCAATGTGATAATGTTCGTTCATATCTATGTTGCTTGATCTAGTTTAACGTTCATCTAGATTGTAAACTGAGAATCAAACGCTTATACTCTGCTAGACTTGTGATGCATTTGTGATTTGATGTTCGAATTGACAGAAACGAGCCTAAGAACAACCACATTTAGCTGAAAGACAGCCACGAAAACACTACTTATCCATAACTATCTGTTTTTACTTTCTAATCTCATTTCCTTTATAAAAGGCAGATCGAAACATGGCAAAACCATTGAATGGACATCGAAGGATCTGCTTCAAGGTTTGGAAGAGTTTGTACCAATATACGAGACACGACCCATCAAGAACAACATGTACGGAATGGGTTTTGACCACAGCTTTGGGCTCTGGTTTATCACACGATGGCTGAAGCCAGAACTCATGATTGAAAGTGGAGCTTTCAAGGGACATTCAACCTGGATATTAAGACAAGCCATGCCAGACACCCCAATTATCTCACTTTCACCTCGTCATCCTGCAAAATACCTTTTGAAAGGCCCTGCATATGTCGATCAAAACTGCACATATTTTGCTGGAAAGGATTTTGTTGACTTTGGGAATGTTAATTGGTCAAAAGTGATGAAGAAACATGGCGTCAATGATTCAAGTCGGGTTCTTATATTCTTTGATGATCATCAAAATGAGTTGAAAAGGTAATCACTTTGCATACTTTTGTGATTCTATTGGGGCATAAATCATGAATCATGAATGTGTGTTTGTTTCTTTGATACAGATTAAAGCAAGCACTTAAAGCTGGCTTCTCTCATCTTGTATTTGAAGACAACTATGATACTGGAACAGGAGATCATTATTCCTTGAGACAGATATGTGATCAGTTTTATATACAAGGTTAGCTATATTACCATGGTCTCATACAATTAAACCAAATACCAAAAGTCTCCTTCCTTGCTGTGTCAATTACCAATAATACCCTTTATTTATCAGGAGGTGGACATAGCTGCTTCAAAGATAGTGATGAAGCTAGACAAAGAAGAAAACGAAAACAATTCTGGGAAAAGGCAGTTGACATAAATGACCTTTGTGGGCCCCATGAGGCATGGTGGGGGGTAAAAGGGTACATGAGAGACGATTTCAACCACACAAACAAACAAATTTCACACACACAACATTTCCAAAATAGCAGATTTGTAGAATCCATACTTGATGTTTATTGGGAGCTTCCACCAGTTGCAGGTCCTTCACTTACACAACAAACAAGATATGATCCAGCACGTGTTTCAAATCCTATTGTTGAAGATGGAAGATTTGGTTTGTTTCAAAGGCTTGGGTTATCGAGACTTGAGGAAACTGTATTTAATGGGTATACTCAAATGGTGTATGTTAAGATATCTTTAAATGAAATGTAGTTGTAAGATTAGTGTTTTATTGTATTATTTGCAATACCTGTGTATTAAAAAAAATTAAATTAAATATGGATGTCTAAACATTTAGAAAGTTTGAATTGAATTTATAATGAAAGTGAGAAAGATATTGAGTTATTTATATATATATATATATATTAAAAACGGACCGAACAGTTAACATCGCCTTTTTTTTTTGTTACAAATGGCCCTCCGTTTCTACCTGTGTTTCCTATTTTGGAATGAAATGTATTTTGGACGCTATTTGACAATTTGTTGAGACTTTCTTATGTTTTACTTTACCTGGGTTAATCTACCGTGGTCACCGCTTTCCTTCCACCGCGCCGGTATCCAATCAGGTTTTTTTTTTTTTTTTTTTTTAATTTCCACCGACTCATATCTCTCGATTCTTCTTCTCTGATTCTACCCTCTATTCCTTCTTCTCTCTAAACAAACCTCCTCAATTCCTCTGATGAACCCTAATTACTTTCGGCCACCGTCTCCTTCCCCTTCAACCACTTATATTGCACCACTCAACATCCAGTTTACCTGGATAATTGGCACAACTGATTACTTCCCACCGGCAGAGTGCTCCAAAATAGCAACGATACAGCCTCAATCTCCCATGAGGACGCTTCACGACGACGAAGACGAAGAAAACTCATCCGATCGAGACGGAAGCATACCTACGTTTCACTTCTCCGTTGATTTCCACAGCGCCGAATGCTTCGACTTATCCTTTTTTGGGTTTTTTCAGTTCTTTCCCTCAGTTTTACATGTAAGTTGTTTGATTTCTGCTCACGTATTGGTATTAGGTTGTTCTACTTCGACTTATCCTTTTTTGGGTTTTTTCAATTATTTCCCTCAGTTTACACGGAAGTTGTTTCATTTCTGGTCACCTATTGGAATCAATGTCTTTTGCTATGCAACTTTTGATGCTTATGAATGTAATTTGTTCCTCTGCTTGAAAGTGTATTTGCTTTTTTTTTTTTTTGCATTCTACAGAGGCCCAGAGACCGAATAAAATCCAAGGGGGAGATAAATGCGTTCTCTCTTTTTGATTTTGAGTTACAGATTCACCATCATTGTCTTCTCCGATTTGTTCATCACAACTTAATTCTTACTTAATTTTTTATTGTTTTTTACCACTTTCAGTTGGTGGATGATTCAACTTTGAAGAAAGAGGTTGCTGAAGGTGTTGAAGAGGTCAGGCCATCTCATGTCAATAAAGATGGAAAGTCAGTTTACTTGAACCCGTTTTCTTGGAACACTGGTAGGAATTTATATAGTTTTTACTTTTTGTCAGATTTAGTATTACTTTATTATTGAAGAAATTGCTTAACAAATTGTTAACTATTTTCAGTTGCAAATTTGTTGTTTCTTGATTCCCCTCTTGGAGTTGGATATGATTACTCAAATACCATTTCAGATATCTTGAATAATGGAGATAAAAGAACTGGTATAGCTTCAAACCTTTAACTCACATTTGGTTCAAGGAGAAGGAAATGGAATGTGAGATTCCATTCCATGAGCCAAATGAATGGAATTGAATTTCATACATACTCATATATTGTTGTGTTGCAGTGTAGATTCACTTTAATTTCTATTGAGTTAGCTTGAAAGATTTCCTCAATTTAAAGGAAGGGATTTCTATATTACAGGCGAAAGCTATGCATGTAAATAAATGTAACATATAAGAACAGAACATTATTCCTTCATTCATTATAATGTCAATTTGAGATTCAATAGGTACTTAGTTTGACCTCAAGAACATTATTTATGTATTCATTGTAGTTAAATCTGACCCGTTTCATGCGTTTTAGAGTTTTGTCTATTTGTGTAAGCGATTGTACTTCTATTGGTTGTATATCTTACAGAGGTTTCATTGGTTGATGCAATTTTGTCTTTACAGTTGATATCAAGATAACGAAATTGGTAAGAAATCTCATATTCAGTATTCAGTTAACTTATTGTAATAATGAAGAAAAAAGAATAATTTTGTTTCTTTCTGTTTCTAGGCTTAGTGGGATAATGGATTTAAGAGGAGAAAATTAAGAAATTAACATTTTTTTCTACATGACTCCTAAAACTCCAAAAACATCACCGTTTATAAAGGTATGTTTTTTGTTATTCGTTCATGCTTTGCCTACTTGCAATTAACATGTTTGGTAAACTGCCTCAATGAGACATAGGATTTGTTTTCTGAGAAGTCATGGCTTAGTTTGAGTTTAAATTTTTTTCATTTTCAGATGATCAAGAAAGCTTACCAATGAGTATGAAGCATCCATTTGGTAGACACACAAAGACCCGTATTGGTTAGGAACAATGAAAGAAGTGGTTAATCTCCTTTTCATGAGAAAAAAATAACCCCTCATTATAGGTATGTAAATAATTTTTATTTATTTATTTATTTATTTATTTTATAATTATTTTCATATCTTTATCTCACTCTTGAATTTATAAAATTCTGCAGCTTGGAGCTTTCTTAGGTGTGACACTTTTAGTTGAAACAAATCTCATAACACAAATTAAAGTTGATATTAGACCTTTTACTACACAGGCATCCCTTTATTTTTACCGTTTTACCCTTTTACCCTCTTTACCCGAACGATGGCTCACCTCCTCCATTTCTCACACACTTATCTGATGTTTTGGTGGTTACAGGTCTCCAACCATCTGTCTCTATTGTACAAACATGCAGAAACAGGAGGCAAGCACTACAAAGTTACTGACGTTTTCTGAAAATACAGGTTGGTTTTAGCGATTTTAATGGGTTCTTTTCGGTTTTGGTGGTTGATTATCACGTATTCACCTTATTCCTGATGGATTGTAGGCGGTTAAAAAAAATAAATTCTTGCATTTTTAGGACCATATTGCCCCTGCACACTTTTTATATTAATAAAACCAACTTTTTACAGTTTCAGGACCACATTACCCCTGCACATGGGAAGCATTTGACAAGGGAGATGATATCCACATGGAAGAGGCATCTGAGAAGAGGTAGAGAGTCCATTCTTTTTCTATTATACCATTCTACTAAATAAAACTCAATTGAGAAACTATGTTCAAGTTTAAAAAATAAACTATTTGGATCCCAGTTGCACAATTACTTTACGGGACCTTTTTCGACAACGGAGAAATTTGGCTGTAAAGCTATTTGGACACGTTTTGACAGTTAGCCTTTTAATGTAGGGTTACCGAGTTATTCGAAAGGTAAAGTTTAGTATGTGGGAATCACATAAGGAATGGAATAGTGCATTCCGTTTCCATTGGTTGCTTCTGTGGTGGAATGTTGTTTTGATTAGGCAAAAGTTTATATAAAATGATTTTACGGAATTCCATCACACTGCCTATTATGTTAAAAAAACTACCCCACAACACTGTTCAAAATATAAACAAATAGTTCATGAAAGAATATTTATAGAGAATAAACCGAAAAAAAATCTCACATCCAACCCCGCAACGCAGGATCACTCACCTAGTTGAAATTAAAGTCTTCATTTCTCTTTTAAATTTAAATAAATAAACAAAGAAAATAATTGGGTTTCAGTTTAGAAATTTAAAAGGAAGTTGGATTGATTAAAGTGATATCTATTTATTATTATATTTATTATATTTGTTATGTTTAAATATTATATAGAATTTAATAAAATGAAAAAAAAATCATAAAATGATATGTGAAAAAATTTAATTTAGAATAACTATAAAATGACATGTAACAAAATAAATAAAAGCGTGACAGTTAACATGGGACAAAATGATTTTTATTTATTAGAATACATTGAAACAGTGTATTTTTTATTAGATGTGTTTGTTCATTGTTTATGTTGGTTTTGTGACTTTTGTGATTTAAATGTTGGTATGGTTGAAATGGGAAAGTTATTCGGAGAGATTTGGTGTAATATGGCATCACACGTCTAATTACATTCCATTATATCATGTTTGTTATGTTTTGGAGGAAAGAAATGAATGTTTTTCCCAAAAAAGTTATGTTTTGGGGGATGGAGTGAGTTAGGGAAAAAAGTGTATTTTATGTGTAAATGGTATTATAAATAACATTCACTATGTAGCATTGAACTTTTTAGTTATATAGATAACAATTTAAACTAAAAGTTTATTGAAACCCAAATAAATTATAATAAAATAATATTTTCTAATTAATTTTGTTGAAATAATGGAAATCTTTTCAACCGGATTGTTTAATAAAAAAAATGTATTAGATCATAGAGAAAACTGCAAATCAGGGTTTTGAATGTTGAATTTTTAGGTTTATTATTATTATTATTATTGTGTTTTAGACGTTTGGATGTAGTTTACAAATCTTTATAAAACGAAAGAATAGTCATAAACAATCTAGTCATCTCTCCATAAATTCGACTAATATAATTCAATACATATCGATGCAAGGTAAACGGACAACAAGCTACGCCGCTAGCCATTTCTAGATGACAAAACTAATTCTTTTGAAAACAACATCTGTGGATCTAGGAGATATGACCTTAGAATGCATGACCTGTTGGACTCTGTTGAGGAGCTCCACCGCCTCTGGTGTGAGAAAACCAAATGTATCAAATGCAAAAGGTACAAACATATATTGATTTTCTATACATGCATTCTCGTACTTTGCCACTTTGCACGCAGACTTTCAAAGCGGCATGCCTTGCTGTGAAACATCTGCTCCTCAAACAAATGAGAGGAGAGACCCCAGTAAGATTCACACATGCATGCTTCCCTCCTACCCATCCAAAGACCAAAATGTCAGCTGGTCTAAGTGTGGACCTTCCATCCTGCGGGTCCGGTAAAAAGTTCACTGGCGCTTCTTTTTTCGCAGAAATACAAGCACGCCGACAAACATCAAAGAGAACATCCCTAACCACATTATGTCTGTATTTGAAACCAGGGAGCTCTCTACAATGAACCGCATGTTCCCCAAAGGTATCCAAACATGCATTGCGGCAAACTGGACATATCTCGTCAATTGAGAATAGAAAAATCATGAGGAGGTAACGAAGGATAGTTCGGTACTCCACAGGAGACATATGCTGGCCAAGGCCATCAATATGGATAGTTACCAGGAAATCCTGAGCATGAGGTGCCTGCAGACACTCAAAGACTGTTTTCTG